GGAGAGGCGGTCCCATAGGTACGAGGGTCCTAGGCCGTGAAGGGCTTGAAAGGTCAAAAGCAGCACCTTAAATCTGACCCTGTACTCCACTGGAGCCAGTGCAGCTGGAAAAGCACTGGGTGAATATGCTCCCATGGCAGGGACCCCGTGAGGAGCCTCGCTGCAGCATTCTGCACCCGCTGGAGATTCTGGGTCAGCTTCAAGAGCAGCCCCGCGTAGAGCGAATTACAGTAGTCAAGCCTGGAGGTGACCATCACATGGATCACTGTGGCCAGTTCAGGGCGGGAAAGGTAAGGGACCAACTGCTTGATGCGGCGAAGGTGGGAAAATGTCGCCGTGGCTGTTGCTGTAACCTGCGCCTCCATGGAAAGGGAGGCGTCAAGGATTACACCCAAACTCTTAACGGAAGGCAATGGCACTAATTGGGCCCCCGCAAGAGAAGGGAGTTGGTCCCTCATCCCCATGCCATTCCGACCCAGCCATAGGACCTCCGTCTTCGAAGGATTTAGTTTCAATCGGCTCCCACGAAACCATCCAGCCACAGCTTCCAAGCATCTGATCAGTGTGTCCGGGGCCGAGTCGGTGTGGCCATCCATCAGCAGATAGAGCTGAGTGTCATCAGCATATTGGTGACAGCCCAGCCCAAAGCTCCGGATAATCTGGGCAAGGGGGCGCATAAAGATGTTAAAAAGCATCAGGGAGAGAATTGTTGGAGAATAGTTGGAGAAGCTCTTGTAAATTTGGGCTTTGCCATACCACATACACCTGTGCCGTCCATATTTAACAACATGCCCTCCCGAATCTAGCAGTTGGGTGTTCTTCAGGCACAAATACGATGCCTCAAAGTATAATCATATGCTTTATTCTGGGTTTCTTCCCCTGCCAGATAAAATTGGATTGTTCTTTTTGCATTGTGCATCAATAAGTATTGGTACTGTTTGAAACAGAAACAGTAATTTTGGGAGAACATTCATTTCTATAGTAGAGATTTCCCTCCCAAAAGGACAATAGCATTCTACCCCGTATTTTCAGATCTTTCTTGATTTCTTTCCATTTCTTCACATAAAGGTAAAGGTAAAGGTACCCCTGCCCGTACGGGCCAGTCTTGACAGACTCTAGGGTTGTGCGCCCATCTCACTCAAGAGGCCGGGGGCCAGCGCTGTCCGGAGACACTTCCGGGTCACGTGGCCAGCGTGACAAAGCTGCATCTGGCAAGCCAGCGCAGCACACGGAACGCCGTTTACCTTCCCGCCAGTAAGCGGTCCCTATTAATCTACTTGCACCCGGCGGTGCTTTCGAGCTGCTAGGTTGGCAGGCGCTGGGACCGAGCAACGGGAGCGCACCCCACCACGGGGATTCGAACCGCCGACCTTTCGATCGGCAAGCCCTAGGCGCTGAGGCTTTTACCCACAGCGCCACCCGCGTCCCATATTTCTTCACATAGTTATCATTAAAAATATTATGGTTGTTAGCCGTTATTCATATTCCCAGATACTTCACTTTTTTCTCTATTTTCAGTCCACTGATTATTTCTAAATTATTTTTTGATTGTCCATCCATTTTTTTAACTAAAATTTTAGTTTCATCTTTATTTAGTTTAAAGCCTGCTAATTTTCCAAACTCCAGTGCCTCTGGGGTACTTTCCAGAGGTTGTTCTGATGTCAGGACCATGTCGGCTGTGAAAGCTTTTGACTTAAATCCTAACTCAGGGATACGATAAAGCAAAAGTGAAAATTTCACAAAGAATTAGAAATATTGAACTACAAACCCATTTAGCTCAAGCTGATCTATATCCTATGCTTTGGACAAACAGAATGGTCCCGGCACTTCCAAATTATTTGACGAATTTGAACATCCCCAAATTTAGAAAGGCATTAAGCAAGCTAAAGTCAATGTCTTGCCATCTGCACTATTGGAAGACCGATACAGAAAGATTCCTCATGGTGAGAGGGTCTGCCCGTGTGAGAGGGGTCAAAGTGAAGCAGTGGGCCGTGTTCCATTCCACTGCAGATTTTATACAGATCCCAGAGCCTCTCTCATAACCCCACTTGTACAAAATGTACCAGGAAAAATGGAGGAATATTATTTAAATTAGCTCTTGTCTGACTGGAATCCATATGTCACTAGAAATGCAGCTAGATTTTGTGCAATAGCCATAAGTCAAAGAAAGCAAAAGCTGCTGCACAGTCATAAACCATTACAGCTTATAGTTAATTTTTCTTATTCTTTAAATTCTTAAATGGAGTTCTTATTTCCTTAGATATACATTTTAAGTCTATTTAATTAGTATATTGATTGTAAAATTCCACTCTGGTTGTTTTTATCGTTTTTGTACAGAAATTCTGGTTTCAGTATGGCCGTAATAATATTCATGTCACAGCCCTGGGTCTTAAGTCATGGTTTAAACAGGAACTGCTTCTCCCTACCACACAGATCCGTAGCATTTGGTTTTAATTTTAAAATGAATACCTAGGACAAAGTGGACCATTATTTTCCTTTGCACCCCCAATTTGAGCTCTGAATTCAAATTCAAATATTCTTATTGCTACCCACCCGGCAACATGAGATCACAAGGCAGGTTACACCAAAAAACCAACCAACCAAAAAACCTAAACAAATAACAAAATTCAATCTTTTTCCTTTGCAGCTGTAACTTAAATGTGATACAGTGGTACCTCGGGTTAAGAACTTAAATCGTTCTGGAGGTCTGTACTTAACCTGAAACTGTTTTTAACCTGAAGCACCACTTTAGCTAATGGGGCCTCCTGCTGCTGCCATGCCACTGGAGCCCGATTTCTGTTCTCATCCTGAAGCACAGTTCTTAACCTGAAGCACTATTTCTGGGTTAGCGGAGTCTGTAACCTGAAGCGTATGTAACCTGAGGTACCACTGTATAGGAAAACAGCACTTATCTTTCAAGGTTGGCAGTGAATTTTGAGTACTAAGTCAGTAAAAGGTAAAGGTAAAGGTACCCCTGCCCATACGGGCCAGTCTTGACAGACTCTGGGGTTGTGCGCCCATCTCACTTAAGAGGCCAGGGGCCAGCGCTGTCCGGAGACACTTCCGGGTCACGTGGCCAGCGTGACAAGCTGCATCTGGCGAGCCAGCACAGCTCACGGAAACACCGTTTACCTTCCCGCCAGTAAGCGGTCCCTATTTATCTACTTGCACCTGGGGGTGCTTTCGAACTGCTAGGTTGGCAGGCGCTGGGACCGAGCAATGGGAGCGCACCCCGCCGCGGGGATTCGAACCGCCAACCTTTTGATCGACAAGCCCTAGGCGCTGAGGCTTTTACCCACAGCGCCACCCGTGTCCCAACTAAGTCAGTATCATACCACTATTAAAAGTTCTCAAAAACCTCAATCTTAAGCACACTAAGCTGATTCACACCTTCTCAGCCTTAAGCTACTGCCTAGAGAGGTCCCCAAGAACACCATTTTTTGATATATGTGATGGACAGCACCATTCATTTACAAACCTACAGTCTTTCAAACATTACTTTCAACACAGGCTCAGTTCACACAAAAGCAAACTACAGCACTGCAAGAACAAGCAAGCATGTGGGTACCCAGAGCAAAACTGTGGCCACTATGCTCCTGCCCAGTTGTTGCTGCAACACTACCCACAGCTAAGATATGGTTTAGTTTAGCATGACATGCAAACCTAGGTTCATGGTTTGTATTGTTTCCAACATATAAAGGTATGCCCTTGGTTTACCACTGTTGATTTACTGGGAGCAAGATAAACCATGACCCCAAGTTTGCACATAATGCTAAGCCAAGTCATAGCTTAGCTCTGCATTGTGTGGTAGCAGCAAGACAGGGGAAGTAAAGTGGCAATATAGCTGCATGTTTGCTCATTCTCACTAAGCCATGTTCATCTTAGTGTTATGTGCAAATGAGGCCACACCAATCTTCCAGAGCTCGAATATCTGGGTTGCAAAATAACTTACAATTCAAAAAGAAAAATCAGCTGTCAAGAACAAACTGAACATTGCCACAGTTATGCAAACTATTATTATTTCATAACTCCAAGAAAAACCACCCTTCATTTGCAATTTGTAATGCAGAAGGCTATCATTTTATATTCTGACAGTCTCAGCTTAGATGAGTCTTTAAAGGGCACAACCAATGTAGTAGATTTCAGAACTCTGCTATGGATAAATTTACAGATACTTGCCAGTTGCCAGCGCATATTTTAATCTAATGAGGAAAGTGGGGCTGCTTCTTTCATTCACACTGGAAGCACTGGTTGGGGGGGGGGGGGCGGGGGGCAGCAGTAAGTTCTTAATATTTTATAAGTAGCTCCAAAGTGCAGTGTAATGTTAGAGATCAGATTTTGGTTTCGGCTGGCTACCTAAGCAGGCCAAAATGTGCGGGCCTCCCTTGTGTTTCCTGAACAAAAGTTTTATCTCTTGCCTCCAATAATACATGGCAATCATCTTTTGAAACTGAAGAATTTTCAAAGGTTGGTTGTGGTATGTGATAGAGATCTGTCAATTCAAAAGGAAAACACCAAAAGTTCCACTGAGCTTACCCAAGCTATTGGACCCCACCTAAAGTACACTTTGGGCACCCCAGCAAACCAATTTAGTCAGAGCACTGCCTACATTATTTTTTTCTGTGCATTTGATCAACAGGCACATATTTTCCAAGAAGGGGATTAAAATACGGTACTTTTAAAAGGCACCATTGCTATAGCACTGTAGGAGAGACTCTGAAGAACTACATTTTATGAAGATTAATATAGGCTCATTTTTGAATAAAGCAAGTTAAGAAGTTTCCCTTTGGGATTCTCGGCAAATTGCAGTCTGATCTCTCTCTGCATTATGATCTCTCTCTACATTATGCTTCTAAACTCAAACATCTGAAATTTAACAAACTATAAACATGGTATTCAAGGGCTTCCATTGGTTCATATACTTGTACCACTGTTGTATTTATTTAGAATACAATCTCACAAAGTTTTTTTTCTTTTTTAAAGCAAAACACAACTCTTACCTATTTGTTCCATCCAGATTTGATTTGTGAATGAAGTTCAGTTTAGCATCTGCCCAATAGAGCTTCTGTTCTTCATAATCCAAGGTCAATCCATTTGGCCAATAAATATCTGCGTTGATTATAACTGAGCGGCTTGAGCCATCCATCCCAGCACGTTCTATCTTTGGCACTTCTCCCCAGTCAGTCCAGTACATGAACCTATTGTTTTTTAAAGGGAAGTCAGATATTATGCACATTTTCCCCATACCGTAAAAGACCTTCTTCCAATCAACGGGAGGAACAAATAATAATCAATACTCGGATTATGTCAATTCTCTTTCACCCTGAGCTATATTATAGACATTTTAATTAAGCTTTTATACCACTTTTCTACCAAACAGTACTCAAACCAACTTTGCACAGTGGCAGATAATATGGTCACATGAAAAATAAAACTGTGGAAAAATTATTAGGTAGTAATAGACTGAAAATAATGGCAACATTAAACATTAAAACATAAAAATCAACACATTTTCAGAACCACTGCCAAGTGAATGGGCCTTTCAGGTGCAACTGGGACGGCAAGGTTATAATATGGACAACACTGCTGAAAGTCTCTATCATCTTTTCATCCACTAATACCACCGAACTTGGGTGGCCCTATGCAGCTCTGGCCCACCCTAATAAGGTAGGGTGAGGCAGCTGCCTCAAATGACAGAACCACAAGATGCAGCGCCCTTGCGGATGTCCCGCCCACCCCGCCGTTGCCAGCTTCCACTGAAATCTTCCGAGATCTTGTGCACTCCACAAGATTGTGCAGAATCTTGCCAGAACCCACCATCATGGTCTCCACTTCATGGGCACTCCCACACCATCCAGGGAGGCTTTGGCAGCAGAATGACAAGGAGGCAAAATAGGATGTGCCAAACATGGTCCTATGAATATGAAAGTAAGGTAGTGGTTTCTGCATACTCGCTACCTGCTAGGTATTCAGAAGTATAGTTATAAATTTTAAGAAAGAAACAGGCAACTATGCTCTTGGTCTTAGTGGCTGGAGTGCTGAGAGCAAACAAATATCTTAGCAACAACATTCCAACATCAGGAACACTAAGAAAGTGCTTTTTCATATACCTCAGTATACCTCAGTGGGGCCTTTTCAGACTTCATATGCCAGACATAAACGGCACAAAGTCGTCTCCACACTTAGGCTATTAGAAACATGTACAGCATCACACGGTGCAAATCATTCTAGCTTGAACAATATCCTAGACAGCAGTGCAAAACAACAAGTCATCACTGTATGTTCTACCTTCTATTTATTAATATTCCGCCTTTTCTTAATGAGAAAATGGCAGTCTCTTGGAAATACAGCTAATCTCTGTATCCACGGAGCAATGGATCCAAACTACAAGAAAGAAGATTCCACCTAAACATTAGGAAGAACTTCCTGACAGTAAAAGCTGTTCGACAGTGGAATTGGCTGCCAAGGAGTGTGGTGGAGTCTCCTTCTTTGGAGGTCTTTAAGCAGAGGCTTGACAACCATATGTCAGGAGTGCTCTGATGGTGTTTCCTGCTTGGCAGGGGGTTGGACTCGATGGCCCTTGTGGTCTCTTCCAACTCTATGATTCTATGATTCTCTTCAGGCATTATATTCTATATATTTTAAAGATACACTTTAAAATGCAATCAATGTGGGATACACACAGCAAATGAATTTGCATTTATTTGTATCATACATATACATTTCTCAAAGTGCATTGATTTCCTTCCACTCCCCATTAAGTGGGAAGCTCTGGAAAGGTTCTGGAACAATGAAGGAATTTAACAGGTAGCAAAATAAATGATGTGGCTTTTATGTAAGGAAAGAGCAAGGGATCCTGTGCATTGACAGCTATCACTAAGCAGCCATCAATTTTTCAATATTAAATGCACACGGCATCCAAATTGAAAACACATGTACAGTGGTACCTCTAGTTGCGTTCCGCTCGTTACGGACTTTCAGCTTACGAACGTGGCAAACCCAAAAGTGTTTACTTCCGGGTTCGCCACATGCACATGTGCAGAAGTTAGTTATAAGTAACATATATATGTTACACCAGTGTTGAAATATCTGCACTGGCTGTCTATTAGCTCCCAAGGGATGTTGAAGGTTTTGCTGTAATTTAAAGCCCTGCACAACTTGCAGACCACTGCCCCAGGTACAGGCAAAGCGAAGGAGACCCTGCTGCTCTTTCTACAACATAGAATCATAGAATTGTAGAGTTGCAAGGGACCCTGAGGGTCATCAAGTCCAACCCGCTGTGATACAGGAATCTCAACTAAATTATACAATAGAATAATAGAATTGTGAATTGTCACTTGGTGACAGCGCAGGAATATGCCCTTCTTGGCAGCAGTACCCACCTTTTGGAATGCCCTACCTCAGTTAATTCCTGCAGCTAGGACAGTAATGATAGCTGTTTAAAACTTAAGCGGTTACCCAAGCTTTAATGGACTTTTTATTCTTTTGTACACTTGTCAGTTTTGTTTGTGATATATAGTTGCGTTTTTCTTCATTTTAAGGTACTTTTATTGAATGTTGTTTGCAGGCTTATTGTTCTTGCATTTAAAACAAGGAAATTTTTATTACTGTGAATTTCAGTTTACAGATGGGGGAACGACATTCCTGATCGGGATGACTCTCCTCTACTGGAAATAGGTAGGGTCTTCAAGGAGACTTCCAGTTTGCTGCATAATGGTGTCGGGGTGCGAGTCTGCTCCTCAGGGAAGGACCCAAACGTTGGAAGGGGTTTAGGAGGAAACGAAAAGGCGCTGCGTATCCCCAAAAAGCTCAAGAGGGAGTCTTGAGCCCGGAGAAGATTCGGTGGCACCTTTTAAGGAGCTCCCCGGTCTCTTTGCCACTTCGCAAGGAACGGGGCAGAGTAAAACTCCAGTGCAAGAAGCATCTATTGCCCCATGGTGAGAAGCCCTGAGCATCAAGTGGTAAATTTTCCACTTATTAACAAACGAAATTCTTACCTGATCAGGGTAATATTTGACAGACTTTAATCTGACAACACAATGGGAGGAAAAAAGGAGGTCCCCCCAATGTGGTCTAAGCACTCACTGCAAGGAAAAATTATACAGGAGAAGAAATGTAAAGGACTGAGATTGAATTTATCAGATGTCAAAGGATCGCTAAGAAGAGGAGTTTAAGTGAACATTTAAATGGATATTGAAACTAAGTTCTTGTTGAGGCAAGAAGAGGAGTAAAAACCTCCATATTCTTAAGGGGGTGAGTGACTGAGAACCCTTCTGTTCCCATTCCAAACGTGGAGAGAATCAGTTTAAGGGGGGGCACAGACAAACATGACGGTACCTTTATAATAAACAAAAAGGCCCATCAATAAATGGATTCAGGACATGCCAGCTTTGGCAGCAGATAAAAATTACAAAAGAGCAGAGTTGCCATACACCCAGGAATTCCTGGACGTGTCTTCTCTTGGGGGTCCTACATGTCCATTGTGTGTGTGTGTTACATTTTAAAGCAACTGTCCTGGATCTTTATATATATATATATATATGCGCAGGTTTTGGTGTTCTCGGGTGTCTTCCCGTGTAAAAGTTGGGGTGTCTAGGCGACGTTTCGACGAGGTCTCACTCGTCATCTTCAGGCTGGTGCTTTCGGCTTCTTGTTACTGGAACAGAGCAGGATCTCAGTGTTTGAGTTCCTATAAATACTGTTGAGGAGGTGTGGTGTATAGCCTCCAATGTTCTGGGCAGAGAGGAGGTTCCCAGGCTAGTGTGCCTTTTCTTCTTTTGTTCCTTAATTACTTGAGGGATATCTTGAGTGATTTCTTGAGTGATATCCTGAGTACCACTTAGGTGGGTCATTAGGTGTGGATTAGTTGCTAAAGCCTTCGTGTCTTGACCTCTTGAACTTTGTGAAGAGTTTTTCTGAGGAGATGGCTGTACTGCACTTAGTTGTGCTCTGGCTTGGCTTCGTGTATAGGGGCGAGCTGTGGTTTTGTGGCCTGTGCCAGCCAGATCTGTGTAGGGATTGCAGGGGGGTGCAGCATCCGGAGGTGCCACCATGGTTTGGCTACTGGATGGTGTCTGTAATTTATCTGTGGAGAGGGTCTGGGTTTGGGTCTGGTGTGGTTGGTTGGTGATGGCGTTCTGTGTGCCTCTGGATCTGGTGTCGGTTTTTGTGGGGAGGGCTAATTTCCAGATGTCTGGCAGGCGGGATGTGTCGTCACGCTTGTTCATGTTGTGAGGGTGTTTCTCTATCTCGATGGCTTCCATGATTATTCTCTTGTGGTGATGTTCCATGTTAAAGAGCAATTTGGAATCTGCAAAATTAATTTCGTGTCCTGTTTCTTTCATGTGTTGGAAAAGAGAGGAAGTTTTTTCTTCTTTTTTGACGGCATTCTTGTGTTCTGCGATACGTGCATTTATTCGTCTGTTTGTTTGTCCAATGTACGTGGCTGGGCAGACTTTGCAGGGTATTTCATAGACCCCTTGGTTTTCCAACTGGATTTTATCCTTGGGGTTTCTGAGGATATTGGCTATTTTTTGGTTGGTGCAAAAGGCTGTTTTGATATTGTGTTTATGGAGGATTTTGCTAATTTTATCTGTAGTGCCCTTGATATAAGGAAGGAGGGCCATGCCATTGTTTTCTTCTGTGTCTTGGTTTTTGGGGGGTGTTTCTTTTTGGATTAGCTTCGTAACCCTGTTTTGCTGGTATCCATTGGCGATTAACACATTTGAGAGATTCTGTAACTCAGTTGTCAAGTGGTCTTTGTCAGCCAGGCGTTTGGTTCTGGAGATGAGAGTCTTGGCTACGGAGTTTATTTGTGCAGGGTGGTGGTGTGATTGTGCATGTAAGTAGCGGTTGGTGTGTGTTTTTTTCCGGTAGATAGTGTGTCCTAGGGAGCCATCAGGTTTTTTGTAGATTAGGACGTCAAGGAAGGGAAGTTGGTTGTTGGCTTCTATTTCCATAGTGAATTGTATTTTGGGGTGTAGGCTGTTGAGATGTGTGAGGAAGCTATCTAGTTTTTCCTTCCCGTGTGGCCAAATTACAAAGGTGTCGTCAACATATCTGAGCCAAAGTTTGGGTTTGTGTTCTGACTTGTCTAAAGCATTGGTTTCAAAGTGTTCCATGTACAGGTTTGCGATGACCGGTGAGAGGGGTGATCCCATAGGTGCTCCTTCTATCTGTTTGTATCTTTGTCCATTGT